GTGTGTGTGTGTGTGTGTGTGTGTGTGTGTGTCCCAGCTGCCCCACCTGATGTTGCCAGCCCCTCCTGCTCCCACTCCCAGTTTGCAGGGAGGTGGCTACTTGTGGCTGTGGCTTCTGCCTGCCGCTACTTGCAGGAGCAGGGCCACCGGGCAGAGGCCACTGCACTACATGCAACTCCTCAGGTTGCAGCCATGGCTGTCAGCACCTTTCGAAAGCTGTGAGTCCCAGCAGAGCCCCCTGCCCCACCCTCATCTGACCCCTCCCCTGCTGGGATTGGGACCAGTTTCCCACACGGCTCCTGGGTTGGGGTCCCCTCTGCCGGGGTTCCCCATCCCGCCTCCCCCAGGGATGGGATCTGCTGGCAAGTGCGCCAGCTCTACGGAGACACTGGAGTCCCTGGCCGCTTCCTGGTCCCAGGTGAGAGCAAGGGCTGCAGCCTGCTGGCGTGGAGTGCAGGGTGAGGTGGGGCTGAGTGCTGGCCAACTCTGCCTCAGCCCGAGGAGCCCGAGGGTCTGTGCATGTGGTCGTCGCAGAGACTGACTACCGAGACTTCGCCATCCTGTACCTGGAGCGGGCACAACAGCTGTCCATGAAGCTGTATGGTGCGTGGTGGCCCTGCACTCGAGGCATCCCTGGGTGTCCTGCCCTCCTGACAACAGGTGCCTGGTGGGAGATGGGTCCCAGCTGTGGGGTGCAGGAAGACCAGGAACCGACAGGCATCCCTGTGTCTGGGAAACAGACGCCGGGGCTCAGGAGCCCTGTGCGTCTGCAGCCCGCTCCTTGCCTGTGGGGGACTCTGCCCTGAGTGTGTTTGAGCAGCGGGTCCGGCAGGCCAACCTGACCGAAGACCAGACCTTGTTCTTCCCCACGTATGGTGAGTACCCCAGCAGCCCCTCCTGGCTGGTGCCTGGCCTGCCTGACCACTCTGGGCCCCCAGGTTTTTGCGAGTCCACGGACCAGTTCCATGTCCTGAACGGTGAGTAGAGACTGGTGACTGGATGCAGGCCATGAGGATCCTCGGCCCCTGCTGAGGCTGTGTCTGTGCAGAAGCGAGCTGAGGCCATACAATCCGTGGGAAAAATCAGCGCCGAAGCCACAGAGGACACCGCCACCCTACCCAGGAGCCCCCAGTCCTGACCCTGGCCAGCCACCTGGTTCTCTGCTCTGCCTGAAGCTGCCCCTCCACTCTGGGTCCAGTAGACATGGGACTCATTAAATGCCAGACTTGGCTCCTGGCTCCTTTCTATCTCCTGGACGGTGCTCCATGGCTGGGGTGGGAAGGGATGTGGATTGTGCCTTGGCTTTTTAAGAACTCCCTCCCCAGGGACCAGGAAGGAACCTAGGGTCTGCTCTTCCCAGGGCCTTGGGGGTCCCCTCCCCTGACCCTGCTGGCCTGCAGGCAGCCCTGGCCCTGAGCTCTCCCACACACACTGTGGCTGAAGAGCGCAAGTCCCAGGGGCCCAGTGACTGGAAGCTGGGTCATCTCAGGGAGCCCCCTTCCTGGCCCTGGACGCAATTCCTGGCTTCCTGGTCCTAGCCTGGCTCCCACACCGGAAGCTGTGTGGCAGAGCTGCTCTGGGGCCTCCTGGCCAGGGCTTGGAGGCAGCAGACACGCAGGCGCCAGCTAGGGACCCCTTGGGGTGAGCCCAGGTGGATCTGTACCCCAGGATGGGGTACAGGTCAGATGAGGGTAGCTGTCAGGGCTCTGGCCCCCAGGACCTTACCAGAGCAGAGCTGGAGGCTGAGGGGGAGAGAGACTTGTCAAGAGACCCTGTCTGCTCTCTAGATCACTGGGGAGTGAGTTCGGTGCAGAGTTCCAGGGCCAGGAATGGGGTCTCAAGCTGGTCCCCAAGATCCAGACTCACATGCACACCTGGGTTGATGGGATGAGCATTTCTCAGGGGTAACAGGGTAGGCTGGTCCTTGGCCCCAGGAACCCGAAGTCCAGCTTCAGCCCCTCCAGGGGGCCACCTCCAGCCACCTCCTTCCCTAGGGCCATGGGGGCACCTGGTGAGCTGCACCCACATCGCAAGAGAACAGGTGGCCCAGGCCTGGGGGTGGTGGCCTCTGTGTCCCCTGGTGTTTCCTCCCCCACACCATGTCCCCAGGCAGCTCGATGTAGGGTGGCCACGGTCAGTGGGGCTGGAGGGACAGGGAGGAGCAGGGTGTGGGAGGGAGGGGGGCAGGCACTGCCACGTGGCTTCACAACCAGAAAACTGAAAAGAGCATGGAGCACCCACGTCACCCTGAAGACCTCAGCCACACTGCCAGGCCTGGAGAGCCGGCACCACTGCCCAGGTCCCCAGAACGAGAAGTAAGGCCTTGCCACTTAGGGCATCCGGCAGGGGACACGGTCCAGGCACTGCTGCTCCAGGTCTCCAGAGGCCCGGCCTTTCACAGAGCTCAAATCAATGTGTGTTTGAATTCATTTTGTTTATTTTTGTGGGGCTGGGGATTGAACCTAGGACTTCTGGTATGCGGAACATGTGCTCTACTGCTGAATGACACATGTTTAACTTCTATAGAAGTGTCTAAAAGCTCAAGTTCAAAGTAGGAGCTTGCCTAATTGTCTTCAAAAGTTAAGTAAAATAATGATAGCTCTAAGTAAACATTTTCTACTTAAAAAAAAAATTTTTATTCTCTCTTTTTCAACACTAGGGAGAGAACCCAGGGTTCATGCATGCCAGGTAAATGCTGTACTTTTTTGAAAGTCTTGCTCTGTTGCCCCAGCTGGCCTTGGACTCCTGCCCATCCTGCCCCAGCTGCCTGTGTAGCTAGGGTCACAGGCACTCATCCCTGTGCCAGCTCAGAAACATTTCTTACCATTTGTATTTACCTTTAACTCCAATAGATGGTTTGCAACAGTTTAGAAGAAAAGTAGTTTTAAAACTCTATGGAAAAGTCACACACCTGTAATCCCAGCACACGGGAGGCTGAGGCAGGTGGATCGCTGTGAGTTCAAGACCAGTCTGGGCTACATGTGAGTTCCAGGTCAGTCTCAACTACATAGTGAGACCCTGTCTGAAAAAAAAAAAATCTATGGAAAAGTCAGGTGTGGTGGTGCATGCCTATAATCCCAGCACTCAGGAAGCTGAGGTAGAAGATCTCTGTGAGTTTGAGGCCAGCCTGGGCTACATAGTGAGACCTTGTCTGCCCCCCAAAAAACTGGAAAGGACCACTTGACCAGTGCCTTGCCTGAGACCTTCTGAGGCCAGGTACTGGAAGGGGTCCCAGCCCTGGGTCCCTGGGCAGCACTCATGGTCCTGCATCTGACACAGTGGGGGACAGCACGAGACACCTGCTGGGAAGGAAGAGATGGGATGGGTGGAGGAGGCGTGCTGTCCCCAAGGCCCACACTCAGGAAGGACGCGATGGAGACACGGGGTTCAGGAAGAGAGGGGTAGGAGGGGGACCAGGCACAGAAGCAGTGGGGCACTTGTCCTGCAGTCATGGAGGCAGGGTCCCTGGCCGTGGCCCCGCCCCGCTGCCCCCCACCTCTCCCAGTCGCTTGCCTACCCCTTGATCCCCGTCCACCTCAGCCTGCGGTGTCCACCTGAGCTGCCCACCCAAAAGGCAGAGGTGCTGTACCCACAGCCACCCGCAGGGGGCGCAGTACCAAACCCCGCAGGCCGGGGCCCTTCCGTGATGCTGGCGCTGGCCAGGGAAGCTGCGCCCCCGCCCGCCCCTAGTGGGTGCCGTCTGTCCCTGAACGTGGGGCTCCCTGCTGCCGGTCGCCCTCGAGTGTCTCCCGAGTGCCTTAGGGAGGACAACGCCAGGGCGGGGGACAGAAGGGAGCTGCCACGCGTGGCACACCACCACCCTGGCAGCCTGGCCATGGTGTCCACCTGCCCAGCTTGGCATGGGCGCTGGGGCTCTGGAGGAGCACGGGTACCAGGGCCAGAGAAGCTATGTGGCACTCCGGGCCCCAGCCCTGTCCCCGGCCAGTGTCCCCCGAAAGTCCCCTCTGTCCTTCCCTGGTGCTGGGCCCCACCCTCCTTGCCACCCACTCCGTGGTCTCAGGGTGTGGGCAGCGGGCCCGTGGGTGGCCAGCCGGGCTGTCCTTGTCCGCTCCATCAGCCCAGAGCTGGTCACACTCCCTGCCCGGGACAGGAGGTTCCGTGTACCAGGAAGGGTGTCGGTGGGGCCTGACCCTCCGGGAAGGGGATGTGGAGGCTGAGGCCCAGCCCCTCCAGGCAGGCAGACAGGTTTGCAAACCGCCCCAGGGGTGCTGATGCACCATGGTTCCTCCTGCCATATCCCAGGGCGGCATGGGCCCCCCGATGTGCCGTGTGGCTGTCCCTGCTTGGAGTCCTGCGGGCCCAGACCTCACTGCTGCTGCCGCTGCCGACCCAACCCCAGCTGAGTGTCTTCCACAGCCACCAGGTAGGGGCCGGGCCGGCGGGACAGGGAGGGGCAAGGCCCTGCTGGGTCCACCCTGCCCCCCCGTGGTGTGTGCAGACAGGCTCAGGGAGCACGGCCCCACCAGACGTCGTCCCGGGTGCAGCCCTGGGCGGGCCCTGCTGTGCTCTCAGCAGTGGGATCTGTGTCCTGTCACTGCCTGCAGTTCCAGGGAGCCTGGTTTGTCCGAGGCCTGGCAGGCAACAGCTTCAAGAAGCAGGACCGGGCCTTGCTGGGCCCTTACACCACTGTTTTCGAGCTGAAAAGTAATGGCCACTTTGAGATGTCCAACTCCATGATGCAGTGAGTGGCCTGCTCCCATCGTCCCTGCAGTCAAGGATCAGGGTCCCCCAGGGGCCACCTGCAGCTCAGCCACAACGTGGGCAGTGGGGCAGTGTCCCTGAGGCCGCTGTCTAGTGCAAGGTTCAGTGTGCCCTGCTGAATGACCGCTGCTTCACCAACCCAGCTGGCAGGTTGTACACAGAAAAGGGGAAGCACTTACTGGACTGCTGTCCTGGAAGTGATTGGCTGATGGATTTCAAGCATGGCTGGATCTAGGAGGTCAATCTGTTTCCTCCTCCCTCTCTCAGTTCTGCCTGGCCCAGCCTGACCCCTGTTTAGCAGGTTCTCATCTCACAGCCCTGAGCTGACAGTGTCAGGGTTCCCAGCTTTTTTAAAGGATTTAAAA